TCCACACAGGCAACCATTCTCCTACGTTTTTCCCGTTCTTTTTCAATTAATTTGGTGTAAAACTGTATCTTTTCAAAAACTCTTCACATAATATCCTGAAACATGGAGATGTGAAGGTCATTTCTATTTGACAGCATTAAGAAACCTCTTTCACCTTAATCATAAGAAGTATTTCAGTGTCAGCTGCAGCTATGTAAAAGAAACAATTCACATCAAACAATGACAGAAATTTGTGCATCATTGCACAATGACTTCTACATAGATGGATTCCCCCATACCTCCATAAACTGCAGCCAAAACAACAAAACAACTCACAATTAGGCACATGCTTTAACACATTCAGCGGCCTTGACAAGCAGGATGCTCATTCCTTCCCAAGATGAATTTAGTAACTGGTTTTGCTTATGTCAGACCACAAAATATTCCCAGTTTTATGACTATAATAAGGAAGAAAAAAAGATATTTCCTACTTTTTTTTGTCTTGAAAAATGTATTTCTAACGGTTTAGACAGTACTAAAGTTAGCAGTAAGTACCAAAGTCTACTTTAAAAAAAAGGAACACTTAAAGATGTTGAATGCTAAGTCTTTCACTGCTATCTCTGCTAACAACAGGACCTAAATGAAGGATTACTAACAGTCTGTTTTAAAAACAAGCTCATAGCTGAAAATGCCTATGATTTCCTTCATGCCCTACAGAAGAAAAACACAGAAGAGGTGCAGGACTCTAGAAGCAAGATTTTGGTTTCTTTTGTTACTGGTATTTAAAAACAAACCCAGCTCAAAAATGGGCATACCATTTTTCTTAAGAAAAAATATAAGACTGCTAAAAATACAGAAAACCTCTCCATAACTCCATCTTGAAAAAAATGGTTTCATCAGTTTTGAGTGTCCAGTCTATGACCATATCAGCACTTCATAAACACCACAATATTTCAGTTCTACTAGAGGTGCAACAAGAACAATTTAATCCATCTTCCAAAGCCTCTTTTAGTAGATTAAAAAAACAACATAAAAACCACTAAAGGACAGCTTATACTTTTCCTACAAGAGAGCAGATTCAGTAAAATCACTGACCTCACTGTACTACTAGTAGTGCCCTCCATCTTCCCTTCCCTATAGCTCCATGCATTTTGAAGTTTATTCTAGTTTTCTTTCAATGCACCCTAAATAACAGTGTTCTACTTTCTTTTAAAAAAATCAATTCAGATTTGAAGCCATTGTAAAAGAGGTTTTCCCAGAACATAAACATCTTTAAAGGTTTCTTTCTATCACTATATTTTTCTTTTAAGTTCAGCTTATCAGCCTTTGGTACCTCCCTCACAGTCTTGTGTCACTGCAGCAACTCATACACACAGAGAAAAGAAAAAGAAAACTGCTTGGAATTCTCGACAGTTTTGGTAACCTCCAGTTGCTGTATTTAGACAGTCCCCTTTCTAAATCACAAATACAAATACCAATAGAGATAAAAATGAAAACTAGCATCAAATACAGAGAACAAGCCAACTCTAAATGTTCCGTTTCCTTCTCATCATCTCAAAACGCACCATGATTTAACCCACCAATCCCAAATACACTGGTTGTTTCCATGGCTGTCTTTGCATATGAAATACCTATGTAAACTAAACAACAAAATCAAATCATCTTATGTGCATGTCAGTAAACTATTAACGTATAAAAATAGGGAAAGCAAGTATATTTTCACTGTAAGCCAAAACAGGATTGCAGAAGTAATGCAGATTCTAAATCACAAAGTAATTAATCTGACACTTCAAACCAATCTAATGTAATTTCAAGCACCTCAAAAAGACTGAAAACTTATAAAAATGCAAAACTCAACTTCACATTGCAGAGACCTTCCCGTCTCCACTTGCTGAATTCGACTTGCAATATCAAACCAAAACACGAGATGAACCACCAGTTCAAATGCTCAACTGCTTTACCTAGCTTCATTTTTTAATATATTATAGATCTAGATAACAACTTCATAAAATAGTCCTAAATGATCCAAGGGCTAGGACGTGAAGCTTCTTAGTTCCCCTAAATATAGCAGCAGTCACATGGCTGTCACTAAGACCACATTAGCCTTTCCATGCTAGAACCTCCTAAACCTTTACCCCCAAAACGTAGACTACGCTATGAATATTCAGTCTTACATGATATATACACAGCATGTAACAACGCGGACTTAGAACAGCTTAAAGAAAAATACACAACCACGTACACCCTGCCAAAAAACATGCCTCCAAATCCCCACAAAACTAACAGTGGCAGCTCAAAACTGCACCACTGAAAAGCAGGAAAAAATTGCTTGCTGTTGTGCTCAACAAGAGGCTGTGATCACCAAACAGCTATTTATTAGCCTTTTCTTATAGCTAACTATATAAATAAATCTTACTTGCTTCTAGAAAGAATAATTTTCAAAAGCAGTTTAAGCTTAAGATGATGAACATTTCTCAAGGGAAAATTTGTACTTGGCACTTTGGGAATGCACAAACATACAAGTTCATGCCATTCCAAGACCAGTTCCAACAATTTCAGATTGCACTCTTCACAGTAATACAGCAAACTTGTGGATGGTTGGTATAAACCCACAAAATGTCTTTCCAAGACTGCAGCCAACTGACACCCACCAGCAGATACACAGGGCAGCAAGTTTTAGTTCACTGATGGCAAAAATAAATTCAATACACACTGTAAACGTGTGTGTTCAAGATTAAGAGTGCTGCACATACAGCAGCTTTCAAAACTCCCTGGTGTAACACCGGTGGCATTTTCCCTACTGTTCAAATAGGGAAGCTGAAAAAAAACAGTTGAAAGCACTTCAACATTGAGTCACTGAGAGAGGCAGGGGCAGAGCCTATGATTTCTGGCTGCCAGCCTTCCACTTCTGCCACTACCCAGCATGTCTCCGACTTTAAAACCACATATAACCTCTTTCTAATCAACCACTTGCACTGTTTCCCCTTCTGCGGAGAGAGATATGCAAGGTCATGATCATATCAAAGAGCAAGGTACGCTTAGTAACTTCACTGCACTGAAAGGTATGCCACCTCTGTAAGAACCTAATTTTGCCACCCCCCTGACCTCAACAGAAGTGCCAGAGACCCCCAGTTTCACCAGGAGGGCTGACTTCAGGAGAGACAATTCATGTGTTTGCAGGATAAAGACATCATTCACACAGACACTTTAGTGGCAGGTACTAGAAACTGTTGCTCTTACATTTCACCTCACAAACCCTCTTGAAAAACCTCTCAGGGTAGAACTCCAGATAGCAGAGCAGGGAGCAGGGGACTCAGGCAACTTGGCCCTGAAAATGGGAGGAACTGGTCTCATCTGAAGCTCAAGAGTCCTGCTAAGGTACACTTGGAGCATGAGAGCAGAAAAGTAGCAGGAAAAATAGGCCAGCAAGAAACCTTATTCCAGCTTTTCCAAAACAGTGTATTATTTCCAGCAGCAGCCTGTCAAGTTTGTGATAAAAACCTTTGGCTACTGTCAGAGCCTTTATAACAATGCATTTATCCATCAACCACCCACCACTGAACACACCAGCACCCAATATAATGGGTCCTGAACACACCATTACTAATATCTTATTGATATGGTTAACTTTTGTTTTAATTATTATCTACAGGTTATCAGCTGGCTAGATCTGCTGCAGACTACACTAGGTTCCTGCATACAAAACACTCTTGGAGCCACCACATTTTCCTAGTATTTCACAGCTTCTGTGTGCCACTGACAGTTTTAGAGGGAAGATTCTTCAGAAGTACTTTTAATTACTATTTCCTCCTTAGCTAGAAGGCATTAATTATAGCCTGTTCCTCCAGATAATAAGAAAACAAAGACCAGTGCAATATGAACAGTAAGAGAAACTTAATTACTGAGTCAGATGTCCTTTAGATGTCAGTATGACTACAGAGAGGAGCAGGAAAATAAAACACACACATCAGCCTCAAGTTCCTAGATCAGTTATCAAAACAACGTCTTTCCTCACTGACTTCATTACAAAGAGCTGGACCAGCTAATTAATCAAATGCCTGTTACATGCTTCAAAAATGTGCTTTCTTTTTAATAAAGGAGGCTTGCTGATGTATTTATTACGAAGCAAACGGGGCAAGTGGTTCTGCATGCAAATGCAGAAGTGCAGCATGACTTTGAAGTCTGAAGGTCAGATACAGTAACCGTTCTCATGGAGATTCTTATGTCAGACTGCATCTTCTGTTTCGCATCTACGCTTAAGGAGGAGGAATAAAACAAATTCCAAAGAAATATACAGAGACAACCAGTTCTGTGACACCTTAAGAAGAACTGGAACACTATCATTCACCTATTTCCATTTAAAAAAAAAATCTGCAAATACCCTACCTCCCCAAAATAAAGAAAGAAAACGGGAAGAGTCCTGGAGGGCACAACATTTCATTCTGCTTTGCAACTTTGTTTTCCTCATCAGGAAAAATCAAACTAATTAAGTCAGCAACGATTTTATGTTAAAGAAGAGAACACAATTTTCTCCATTTCCACAGACATTACAAACCCACATCCTTTAAGAGAGCTGGAGGGGTTTCCTGTTGATCAACACCTTTTTTTTTTTAAGCAGTATAGATTTGACTGCAGATGCAAATCAAAGGATTGTGTCCTGATCTTTTTCCAGGCATTAGAGAATTTATCCCTCATCCTTCTATATTCCAAACAACTTCAGGATACAAAACTCAACAGCTGGGCCTGAAGGCAAACAAATATGCCTCATATACCAGAGTCTGATCCATGTCATAAAAGAAAGGAAAAGAAAATAACATGTTTTACATGCATATTTCAAAGATGAATAACCAATATGGATTTCTTTTTAGCACCACAACCACATTTTAATACAGTAAAACTGATAACAGTTCCCAGTAAAACACCGACTTATAAACAATCCCCTCTTACACATAACAGAGGCATTATACAAAGGAGACAGGAAGATGGACGGATGTACACAGAATAAACACATTCAAACTTACCCCACTCTAGATACTCAAGGATGTTCTTCTCTCTTCTCAGAGGGGAGTTATTACATTCATCATAAAGGCAGATGAGTATATCCAGCAAGGTTTCCACACTGAAGCATTGCCCATTAGTCTGAGTTGGTCCATCCAAAATAAACTGCTCCAACTGCTTCAAACGCACTTCTCCAGACATGGTTGTTTCAGTTTGCATTGGGGTTTCTTGTTTTAATGATTATTATTACTTTGCCAAAAAAAAAAAAAAAAAAGAACCACAACAAAAAAATATAAAAAAATATTTTGAGGGTTTTGTTGCTTAAAAAGACAACAACAGTATTCTCACCAAGTGTCAAACTGTGGTGGTGCTTGATTTCCAGCCCACCTCTGTGTTCCCAGCCTGAACCTAAACCCTTGTGAGTTTCAAACACACACATATAGGGTGTGCATCTCTGCATGCATAATTTCTAAGAGAACAGTTACCCTAATATATATATATATCTATATGGTTAATGAGGAGCAAAAAATGTATATGGCCGCTCCTGGTGCTTTAATAATAATAACAGCACTCAAATTCAACCAGGACCGACTGACACCGATTTCACCGTGCGCGCACAGGCAGACACGCTTCTATACCCAAAAAACAGAAAGGTCTTCTCCTTCATTCGAAACGCAGCTCATGCAGAGCGATCCTGAGGGGAGCCCCACCGCAGCCTTCAAGTGCAACAGCCCCCTTCGGCCCGCACCGGCGCCTCACCTCCCACAAGGGATGGGGAGAGAAAAAACCCTATGTATTTAGGTGTTTATCTACGCGAAAGGAAGGAGAAAACAGGGCGCACACCGGCGGGGAGGGAGGCAGGGAGGAAGGGAAGGAGGAGGGGGCCGCGCAGCCCCACCGCCGCCTCCCCCGGCCCCGGCCGCGGCCCCGGGCAGCCCCTCCGCGGCCACCGCGCCCGCCGTGGGGGTGGGGCACAGGCCCCCCCGGCCGCCCCTCCTCAGGGCGCAGCCACGTCCTGCCCCGGCCAGCGTTTCCCTTCCTCCTCCTCCTGCTCCTTACCGAGTCTCCTTTTAAGGCTTTTCAGTGATTCAAAAAAACTAAAGTCTTCATCGTCGCGCCCTTCTCCGCTGCGCCAAGGGGCGGCAGGCGGGACGCGCGTCCCGACACACCGGCACGGCCGCGGGGCCGCTGGGAAGCGCTCCGAGCCCTGTCAAATCCTTCCCATGGCTACTGCTGCTGCTGCGGCGGAGGAGACGGCGCTCTCCTTCTTCTCCTCCAACCTCCGGGTGCGCGTCTTGGGCCGGAGGGAAAGCGCCGGCGTCCCCGCTCCGGCCCGGCAGGCCCCGGCTTCACTCCCGGCAGCGAGATGCTCTCCCGGCTTCGCCCCGCCGGGCAAAGGGCATCCTCCCGCGGTGTGTGTGTGTGTGTGTGGGTGTGTGTGTGTGTGTGTGTGTGTGAGTGCGTGCGCGAGGCGGCGGGGAGGGGTAACGCCGGTGCCCTCCCTCTCTCCCTCCGCTTCCTCGCCCTCCTCTCCCCCGCCGCTCCCTCCTTCCCTCCCGCGGTCACACGCGGCAGCCGCCGCCGCCGCCGCCGAGCTCGCAGCAGCCCAACATGGCGGCGGGGGGCGGGAGGGGGGAGAGAGCCGCCGCCGAACGCCGCCGCAGCGCGGGGAGCCGAGCCCGGGGCCGCCGCTACTGATGGGATTGAGGGGAGGAGGGGGTGCTGCAGCAGGGAATGCAGGGATACGGGCGGGACGAGGCGGAGGGGAGGGCGGGAGACAGGGAGGCCGGCGCGCAGCGCAACGCGGAGCCCCGCGGGTTGGGCTGGGCTGGGCTGCCCCGGACCGACCCAACCCGCCAGGGCGGGGGTCCCGCCGGGACCTTGTAGCGCGCTGAGGGGAGCTGCCTCCCAGCCTCGGCCTTCAGCCGCCGCAGTTCACCCTCCATGGGCAGCCCCCGGCCCGGTTCCCCTCAGCTGGCCCGCCGGCTCCTTTCCCTATCGGTTATGTCTCCCATTAGAAAACACGGCCTCATTAAGGGGGTGGTTACACGCAGGGTGAGCGCAGAGCTCCAGGTGTGAACACAGACGCCTCATGCTTCGAGGACTGAAAACATGACGGAAAACACCGCGGTCCATAGCGGTTACATCGCACCCGGAGCTCGCCATGCCACGCACCGGGCGAATGAGGTTGTTGGGTGTTGAGGCGGGGTGGGAAATGGCAGCTACCCGGCAGCATGTGGTGGCAGTTTTCCTCTGGAAAGGTGTAAGGGATGCGGTGCTGCGTTTAGCTGCCACGGGGGATTAAATACCATCTGTAAGTTAACCTGTAGCTGCAGTTGGTCCTCCTTCAGAAGTCCCCTGAATGGGGAGGAAGGCAGCGCAGCTCCCAGCGGTCACTGGCCATGGGTGAAGTGGAATATTCTCCTAAACTCCACTGAGTGATGCTGCTGGAGCCCTGGGCAGGGAAACAGCTCTGGCACCTGCTTCCTCAGTTCAGTAACCAACAGAGCACTTTCAGCTGGGTTTTGCTATAGCAAGCACCTATATAATGCATTTTCTTCAACTGGCCTTTTCACCAGGTTTTATTTTTTTGATATAAAAGCTCAACAGTGTTACATAGCCATAAAAATGAGCTATGCAGTTAAGCAAAAGTCCCAATGCTTTGCTCAGAGCTGCTCAGCTATATCTAAACTGTCTGATGTGAAGCTAGAGAGGACAGTTGCTCCTGCCCAGTGAGAGTGAAGAGGCAGAGCAGATGAGAGATGGGGCTGGGAAGAGCCTGATTTCTATCGCTGAGCGTGGGAAGAGGACCCACCAGCTTGGGCAACAGGCTTTGAAGGAAGAAACTCTCCTGCCAATTCTTGGTGAATAAAGAAATGTGCAGAGAATAATTCTAAAAGGTTTTTATGCAGAAACCCTCTAAGAAGTGTTACTAGGAACTACTAAAAGTATAAGTGACCTTGTGATGGGTAGAAGATAGGATGAAACTGAAAACACAAAGACAGGGAAAGGGTTCCATCCCCATGCTGGGGTACACCCTTGGTGTGATGAGAGCACTACCCAAGGATCTGAGGTGCTGCTGGTCTACTGAAGCTTTCATTGAACAAGTCCCCCTGTGGTGGGAGCCCGCTCCGAAGCTGTGGCACACAGGCAGTTTTACAGCGAGATGGAGGTATTTCCTGCTGGTTCTCCGCTGAACTTGTGGAAGTCGGGATTGAAGCTGGGGGTGGGGGATGCCTGATGACGGCAATAAAAATATATTGCTAATGCCGGGGTAGGTGGACCAGATCAGATAGCATTTCCTATAGGGGCTGGAGACACGTCAGCCAAGTTCATCCTGAACATACATTAACCATTAATAGCATTGCAGGGGGAAAAGGGAGACAAAGAGTTAAAGAGTCCTTGGACTTTGGCACCACTTGGTAGGGAAGTGAGCTAAAGAACCGCTGCCAGAGATATGATGGGTGTGGATATTTCACTTATTTACTTATGTTACTGTGTTTTCCTCAGCCAACAATAAAGTCTTTCCTTGTTTTGATTGCGGACCAAGTATTTGCAAACAAGGAAGGATACCTAGCAAAGGCACTCACTTTCCCTATATTGCTGGTTTTAAAGCCAAACCCTTGTTTCTGTTATCACCAGTTGACAGAAGTTGCACATCAAGCCAGTTCTTTTCAGCATGCTTTCAGCTCCAGTGAGGCTACAAGAGGCACACGACACATTTTTCTGTTAAAACCGTGCCATGTAAGGTGCAGTTGAACACAAAAAAACAGGAATTATTTGTTCTCTGATCATTTGATCAGAGTCCAAAAATATCTAGGCGGTCCCCGTGACAAGTGATGATACACCCACTGGGCTGTAGTCAGCCCTCCTGTCACAGAAGCTGTGAGGAACAGGTAATACCAACAATGACTAGCAGCGTTTTTATTTGCTGGGAATTATTTACATACCAGATGAGTAATTCTCACAACACCCCCATGAGATGGAACCATATTTCCCTCTGTTCTATAGGAAAGACTGCAAGAGAGAATTTAGTCCAGAATACTTGGAAAACCAACAAAAGAACTTGGTGTAACACTCAGAAACTCCTTCCGTCTTGTATGTTCTGTCACTCAGACAGACCATGTCCTAAAAGTGCACCCAAGTTGTGCAAACATACCCCAGTATCTTTCATAATTATCATGTGTTTGTTTCAACCCGTTCTTACTGTAATAATACCACCATGCTTCTTGCTGCTTAGCTTTACAAATGTTTATGGTACCTAAAAAGTAACTAAAGATAATAAGGAATTTATAGCTTACAGTAAATTAAGCAAGCTGATAGCAACACAGGGAGTAGTGGGGAATGAGGAGGATAAGGCTGAAACAATACAGTTTATGTATTAGCAATGTGTGTGTTGAGTGTTGCAATACTGGATGTTGGTATAATAGAATAAACAGCCTTTTCTCTCCAGGGACATGAGATTTGTTGGTTTGGGTGAAATCTTATACTTAGCTGGTTTTGGCACACAAACCATTTCTAAAGTCGAGCGGGATCCCATATGTGTCCCAGCAGGTGAATAAATGCTTGTGACTCAAGAGTGATGCTTATGTGTTGACAGAATTTTGCATCCAGGCTTTTCTGTTGTCCAGAACTGCACTCTGTAGACACAGGTCGTTTGTACTGACCTTGTAGTTCATCTCCCAAGGAAAATTTGGACAGCACTCTGTACAAAACAAGTACTGGCACCCAACTTAGAGAACGTGTGTTTGATACTTGCTGGTACTGTTTGGAAAGGGGCCCTACAGCTGTCATTTGAACTACAGTAAGAACTTAGGTTACTTCAAGAGATTGCAGGTAGCTACAGATGGAGCACACATCAGTGGCACGCTAGGATGACATTGAAGACTTGCATGTGTGACATGAACAAAACTTGTTCTGGTAGCATTGTAGTCTCACATAGATCTTACTGCTGGGCGAACTTAATCCTACGGAGCAGACAGAGAAGTCTCTTCACTGAATATGATGACTATTGCAGAACTCAATTAGTCAGTACTCAGTACCTATAATGATGCATTTAGTAGCATGCTTTAGTGTTTTTAAAGACTTGTAAATTCATTGTTCTTTTCCTCTCTAAGTGTCTTGCTAAGACCTGTTTCTCCTGTGAGGTCTACAGACAAGTCCAGTACAAGCACTGAATGGTACTTGGCAAAATTAAGCTTATTATTTACCTGATCCCAAAACAATGATCATAAATGTGTATGCATGTCTAGAAATTGTAAATATGGCAACATCTTTCCCTTCCCTCGTGCTTCTTCTATTGGTCTTTAGAGTCTTATTTGTAGTCTTAATGGTTTTCTGGGAATGGCAGAACTGACTAATTTTACCTCAGAGACAAATTGCATCATGCTGATCTCACTACACTGGTTCTGTATCGGCCTCCCCTGGTTTTAGTCTTCATTTTAAATTAATGAGAACATGGCCACCATCAGGATACAATTTGCTGTGAAGAATGAAGGGCTTTTGGCTCTGCAAAAGTGTCCAGGGGTGCCATGCTTGAACAGAAACAGCATAGCCTCTGTGATTAAAGAAGAGGAGAGGAAGCAATGAAAGTACGTTTATAGCTGTGTGAAATTGCTATTATTTTGATTCTTGCTTTAATGATGCAATCTAGGAACTGACCAAAATCACATCCCATGCTGGCTTCCAAACAGGATCCTGTTTGTACTCTGACAGTGCTGTTTTATTTCTCAATATTTTGGGGGTTTTCCCTGTAAAAGTGGAACCACATCTGCCAGAGCTCCTAGAGATGCTGTAAAGCTCAATTAGCATCTGTGTAGCAATCTGAGATTCTTTTTACTTTCCCTTCTTCAGTAACATAAATCTAAGTCTGTTCTTTTCTTTTCTCTCTTGTTTTTGTAGTCTATAATGTTTGCAACTTTTTAAGCCCTTAGTCCCGCCATAGGCCAGTTCTCTCCTATGCTGAAGTGTTCTTCCACTGTCTCCTGACATAACACTGTGTTATGGCACCTTCAAAAGTAGAAGTCTCCTCAAGGTAGTTTAGTCCCTTAAATAAAGCTATTTAATGAAGTATAACTCTTTCTCAGGTCAAGTGGCTTTTCAAACTGAGGAGTTCTCAGGAAGACCACATATTTACTGTGAAACTGGATGGATGCAGCTTTCTGCCACAGCCATAGGAAGCATGGCAAGAATATCCATTGATTCGAAAAAAAAAAAGTGAATACATGTACAATATTATGGTATTTGGCTGATGCCTATACAAAACTAGCATTGTTTATCTTAAAACTGCAGTAACTCAGTATGAGAGCTGTTTCTAACCCTGCTCTCTTTCTACTGATCATAATCAAGGCTTTTGATATCTGTTCCTCTAAAACTAGTACCTCTAGTAGTGGTGAACACCCAATAGTGTATTATGGATGTTTTTTAAAGAGGGTATGCATAGAGATG